TGCGAACTTCTTTCAATAAAGTGATCCTAGTTCATCCTGATAAACAGAGGACGAATATCGATAATGTCAATAAGCTTTCAGTGCGGAAACCGCGGTTTCAGACGGTGCTGCTTAATGTTTGTGAATTCCCGCGACAACGGCGTTCTCTCCCCAGCCTTCTCACAGGTTTCGGCGTCCCCGTCGCCGTCCGCGTTCCCGCTGCTTAAAGTCCCTAGTTTAAGAAACCACGACGGCGACGTCGAGGACAGCGTCGATTCAAAAACGAGTTTATATTTTACCTACGAACTTCGCGGTTCCCTAAAGTTATTTACTTTTTTTATCACTGACAAAGCTATCACGAAACTGAATCTAAGACACATCGATAAATGTAAGTAAGTAAGTAAGTAAGTAAGTAAGTAACCTTTATTTAAACGCGATAACTAATTAAGCTTGCAGCTTGTGGGGTCGTGTATAAATAAACAATAAAGAATAATTACAAAATAAGAATTAAAACATTTACAATGTAGGATGTAATCTAGTTTACATAAATGTAAATAGATGCAATCTAGTTTACATAGAATTCGACATAAGAATTTAAAAATCAGCCGTCGGGGTTCACGTTCTCAAGGCAACACAGAATTTGGTCATTTCACGTTGTTGTTTTACAGAGGACGGCAAAGAAATGTACTAAGAGTTATAACGCACGTGCACAACCATTGTTTTCCTCATTAAACCTTTTGTTGAGCGACGTTGCCGTTGCCGTCATACTTTTCTCAAGCTCCCTAATGTTAGAGGGAGGTGACCCTGTGAGGGACTAGTAACCCATCCTGGTGAGAGATGGAAGTATTCCCAGCCGTGAAATGCTACGGAAACCTAGATAAGTTCCGGTGGCAGGATCACCTGGCCGAACGCAGTCTACCCTCACCATGCATCTGAAGTATGGAACTCGAAAAGCAGAATGAAATCAAATTTATATTTATGAATTCATGACTTAAGTGTAAGCAGAAACGTTTGACCTGTTTTTACTGAAGTATTAATGAAACAGCAAATTCTACCAGGCGTAATTTATTCCTCATCAATAAAATGTTTGGAAAGTTTTTGTTTTTAATAAGTTTTTTTTCTTCATGAAACAGATGTTGACGAGTGTACCACAGGAGAGGCTAATTGCCACGTGAATGCCCTTTGTTCTAACACGGTTGGGTTGTATGTGTGTAGATGCATCAGAGGTTATGAGGGTGATGGAAAAACATGCGCAGGTTAGTTCTAATTTCATGAATTTATGAGCCACGCCATGCACTTGGAAATCTGTATCAAATGCATACTAAGAGGAAATGCTCGATGATCTCTAGGAATCCTCTACATACTACATTTGCTTACATATTTAAAACGTATTCATCCTTGCAAGAACATTGAGCAAAATTTCAATAGACCATTTTACAGTTGTCTGCTCAGTGACCTGGCCTTTGTATGGCAGCGAGGCTAGAGTTGACCTTGTTTTGATACAGACCTCACTGCTTTTGTCATGTWAATGCACCTAGTTAGCATCAGAACAACTTGTTTTACACAACAAAAGCAGTGAGGTCTGTATCAAAACAAGGTCAACTCTAGCCTCGCTGCCATACAAAGGCCAGGTCACTGAGCAGACAACTGTAAAATGGTCTATTCCCGGCCTTACCCACCGACCTGTATAAGCATGTGTTATTCACGATCGATGGTTAATATTTTTCTGTTTTCGTCACATGCTAGATCGCAACGAGTGTGAAGACGGCTCAGCGAGCTGCCCTGCGAACTCTGATTGTCTAAATACCGATGGATCCTATAGCTGTAGATGCACTGAAGGGTACCAGCTAAACGAAGCCGGGAACTGTATAGGTTTGTAGCCTAGAGCTGTCTTCGGTTGGAATAATTTCCGCTTCTCCGAGCCTCCCATAGTTGACAAATTCCATACTTTCAGATGCCGTTACCAGTTTTGCTTGAACAAGGAGGATCGCAAACTTCGTGGAAAATTTAACACGGATTTTTTTTTTTCTATGGTATTATTTCCACCACCATCTGCCAACTCAGTTCACTGCTAAAGCAGTGGTGTAAAAAAGCGACTTGCAATGTCCCAGACGTGAGATGACCTATCTTGGGACACTTTTAAGTTTAAGTTTAAGTTTAATAATACTTTGCCATGTTAGTACAAGTAAATAAATCACAGAAATTACAAAAAGTACATGACTGGAGAATAATTGGGGGAAACTAAATTCCCATACAAAGAATATTCTCCGATATTA